TATAATGCAGCAATTTAACCATAAAAAGTGAACAGAATCACTTACGTTTCGTGAAAAAGTGGACATGTTTTTTTTACTTGTACTATTTACGGTGAGGTAATCACTTTAATGTTATCTGTACATCCATCCCGTGATCATGTGTACAAACTGATATTGGAAAACATGATAAATTCTGAGTGCGTCTCCTCCCCACTGTACTTTGGTTCCTACCCGCTGTACTTACGCGTGAAAAGGCGAAGCCTGAGTGGCTTGGCTTTCTAATATTACGAGGCGGCCCTTGTATACCCAGGTGCTCAACCTCCGTGTGTTGTTATCCCTCTGCCCGGCTCGTCTGTAATGTAAAAAATGAAAATCTAAGTAAATTTAAATAATCCCAACTGTAAAAAAGCTGTGATTTATGATTAAAATGTACTTGTCCTACAAAATCTAAATTTGACCGATTGATGGAATGGATATAACGCACTTTTTAACTGTTTGCGTTCAGCTGAGGAGAGAGAAAATCGAACTGGAAAACACGCTGGAACAGGAGCAGGAGGCCCTTGTGAATCGACTGTGGAAGCGCATGGACAAACTGGAAGCTGAGAAAAGGTAGGCATCACCATCATCCTCTGCTGGTTTTAGTGGTTTACAACTTCATCTCTTTAGATCAGGGGCTCTTAACCTGTAGTCCATGGATCCCCTTTGGGATCTGTGGATGGGCTTCAGGGGGTCTGTGAACCATGCGCATAAAAATTTTGTGCTTATGTGCTTATGTGCATTTTTCTGGGGACGGGTCCGTAGCTTTCACCAGATACTCAAAGGGGTCCATGACTCAAAAAATGTTAAGAACCATTGCTATAGAGTTATATACTTATATAGTTGGTTACTGACTACAGAGGGGGCTGTTGGAACTGTAACCACAAACAAACATACTTTGTAGCTCCCTTGAAGAACTGCTTTAGATGGTGAATCTGTATAATGCGGTTGCTATGGTTACAGGTGGGGGCTGTCCTAGGTACATTGACAGGTTCGCAGTGCGGTTGCTAGGGAATGCGGACGTGCGCGATGCGGTTGCTAGGGCCGGAGAGTGACTGCTCGCGGTTTGTGATGCAGGATGCTGCAGGAGAAGCTCGACCAGCCCGTGTCGGCACCGCCCTCGCCGATGGAGTACCAGCATGATGACAACACTACTGCTGCAGATACTCTCACCTCTCACATCCAGTACCTGAAGGCAGAGATAGCCACCCTGAAACGACAGCTGGAGATATCCCAGACACAGCTCGCCTTAGGGCGTCCAGTCAGCAGCAGCTCGTCTTAGGGCGTCCAGTCAGCAGCAGCTCGCCTTAGGGCGTCCAGTCAGCGGCAACCAGCAGCGAGCCAGCTGTTATACACATACATGTTACATGCTGGCGGAGGTATGCACTCTCCGTGAGTGCCCTCTGTCTAGTTGTAGTATGCAAACATCACGAAATGTTCTTATTGAGCCAGAAATGTGCTGCGAAGTTGACTATTTTGAAAACTCTGGCATTTTCCAATCGTTCTCATTTCTGTCGTCTCGTTCTTTCAGACATTTCAATGAAAGTCACGGATTCCAGACGGGCGGATCCGCCCTCGGCCCCTCCCATCCACGCAACAGGACTTCCTCCTCCCCGATCCCTTACCCGGTGTCTTCCACGGCTGCCCACGCAGGCCTCTCTCCCGGAGCACAGGGTGAGTATAGCAGCTCTCTCGCAGCGCGAAAACCACTGTTCTCATCCCATTGCCTCGGTTACATTGGTATTTTATAAAAAAATGTGTTTTTGTAACTTTTGAAGCAATAGTAAATCCTGCAAAATCAATGATTTGAAAGGGGGCATGGCCTAATCGTGACGTGGATTTGGGACTCTGTGCTGAGCTTTGTAATGGATGACCGGACGTGTAGCCACTGTGTTTAACTTAACTAACTTCTAATCCAAGAAATTAACTTACTATCGAAATTAAATCGAAATAATTTATCTAATTAATCGATTCGATTTGATTGGACTTATCGAATTAATTATTTCGATAGTAAGTTAATTTCTTGGATTTAACACAAGATAAATATGAATTCATAGTTTTCAACGAAATCCAATGAACTTGAACAATGAATCCAATTTCATTCATCACTCATGCAGCGCTGGGTTGCTACCCGTCGATTAGTCCGTCGAGCGTTGCCGCGGTGATGAGATGCGGAGCCTGCGGCACACTCGTCTACCCGGACGCCCGTCACTCTGCGATATTCGGCACGTCACCCCCGGCCCCGCCGGCAAACATACACCAGCCGGTGAGTGTGAACGAATGCGCGAGGAAATGAGAGTGTGTGTGGTAGATGTTTATGCTGTATCAGCGGTAGTGGTTCTGGTAAGATGTGTATGCATGTAATCCGGTACGTGGGGTTGTTGTCCGGCTAAGATTTGTATTGCTCGGTTAATCAGCTGGTTAGGTGCGTTGTGGTAAGATGTGTAGGGCTGTATCAGCCGGGTAGTGGTTGTGTGGTAACAGATGTGTATGCTTGTAATCAGCAGTAGTGTGTTGTCGGCGTAGACTGTGTTGCTGTCATCCAGCGGTACGTGGTCTGTAGGTAAGACTGTGTACTGCCTGTATCAGCGGTAGTGGCTTGCTGCGTAAGATGTAGATATGCTGTATCAGCGGTACGTGGTTGTCGCGTAAAGTGTGTCATGCCTGTAAATCAGCGGTAAGTGGCTATGTGGTAAGCTGTGTATGACTGTATCAGGCGGTACGTCGGTTGTGGTAAGATGTGTATGCTGTATCAGCGCGTATGTGGGTGCCAGTGTTAAGATGTGTATGACTTGTATCAGCCGCGGTAGGTGTGTTAGTGGTAGATGTGTATGCTGTATCAGCAGTAGAAGGTGGTCCTGTGGTAAGATGTGTATGCGGTGTATCAGCGGTGAGTGGTACACGATGTGATGGATTGCTGTATCAGCCGTTATGTTGATAAAGATGTGTATGCTGTATCAGCAGGGTAGCAGGTTGGTAAGAATGTGTATGCCTGTATCAAGCAGTAGATGGTTGTTGACCGTAGATGATGTATGCTGTACATCAGTGATAGTGGTATGTGGTTAAGATGTGTCATACGCTGTATCAGCGCTATGTGGTTGTGGTAAACGATCGTGTATATGCTGCTCCAATCCGCTGGTAGGTGGTTTGTGGTAAGATGTGTATGCTGTATCGCAGCCGCTAGTGCGGTTGTGCGGTAAGATGTGTATGCTGTATTCAGCCAGGTAGTGGTGTGTGGTAAGATGATGTTATGCTGTATATGTCAGCGGAGCTGGCTTTGTGGTAAGATGTGTATCGCTGTATCAAGCGAAGTAGTGGCTTGTGAGTAAGATGTGTATGCTGTATCAGCGTAGTGGCTAGTGGTTAGATGTGTATGCTGTACTCAGCCAAGTAATGATGGTATGTGGTAAGGATGTGGTGTATGCTGTATCCAGCAGATAGTGGCTTGTGGTAAGTGTGTATGCTGTGATCAGGCGTAGTGAGTTTGTAGGATAAAGATGGTGTATGCCTGTATCAAGAGGTATAGCTGGTTGTGATAAGATGTAGTATGCTGTCATCAGCCTCGGTCACTAGTGGTAAGCATGTGTAGTGCTGTATCAGCGGTTATGCGTTGTGGTAAGCATGTGTATGCCTGTATCACGCAGTAGTGGTTAGTGGTAAGATGTCCGATGCTGTATCAGCGGTAAGTGGTGTGTGTAAAGATGTGAATGACCGTACAGCGTAGTGGTTGAGTGCTGAAGATGTGAAATTGCTGTATCAAGTGTAGTGGTGCTGTGGTAAGATGTGTTGGCTGTGATCAGCCCCGGTACTAGGTTTGGTCTTCGGTGTAAGATGCTGTATTGCTGTCTCAGCAGTAAGTGCGTGTGTTAAGATGTTATGCTGTATCAAGAGGTAGTGTGGACGCTGTGGCTAGATGTGTCATGCTGCTACTCAGTGGTAGTGGTCGGTGTGGTAAGATGTGTATGCCGATCAGCGGTAGTGGTAGGTAAGATGTGGATATGGGCTGTGTTATTCATGAGGTAGTGTTGTGGTACAGATGTGTATGCTGTATCAGTCGGTAGTGTCTGTCGGTAAGATGTGATAATGCGTGTATCAGACGGATGTGTGTGTCGGTAAGATGTGTATCTGTATCCAGCAAAGTAGCTGGTCTGTAGGTAAGATGTGGTATGCTGTCAATCAGCGATTACGTGGTAGATTGTATGCCTGTATCGAGCGGGTAATGTGGTTGTCGGTAAGATGTGGTATATGCTGATCTGCCAGGGGTAGTCGGTCTGTGGTAGAGACGGATGCAGTAGCCTGTGATCGCGGTAGTCTGGTTGTGGGTAAGGATTGTGTTGCTGTGATGCAGCCGGTAGTGCGTTCCTGGATAAGCACTGTGATATGCTGTATCAGCGGTAAGGCGTTGTCGTAAGATCGTGTGGTACTGCCTGTATCAGCACGTAGTGTTGTGTAACGCAATCGGGACCTGTATAGCTGTTTTATTAGCAGCGGTAGTGGTTGTCGGATAAGATGTGTATGCTTATCACGCGGGAGTGCGTTGTGGGTGAAGTGTGTCTGCTGTTCACGCGGCGGGTAGGTGGGTTAGTGGTTATAAGATGTGTGATGCTGTAATCAGCAGGGTAGTGGTTGTTCGGTAAGAGGGTGTGTAATCGCTGTGATCAAGCTGGTAGTGGTTGTGGTAAGA